GTTTTTCTAGCAGTTTTTGTGACAGTTTTTCTATCGGTTTTTGTGACAGTATTTTCAGCGGTTCTACCAAGATTATAAGGTTACTTAGCAAAAGCTACATATTTATATATTTATCAAATCCCTTTCGATAACGTCCATTGTTTAAACGAAAATCTTTTATAATAGCTAAACAACCATAATTTTCATTCCAACATTCTGAGCATATTTTCTTAAACTGATCATAAGGCATATCAGGTGAGACATGTTCATCAAATACATGTTTTAAATTCATATCATCCTGTCTAAATAGCACAATAATATTACAATTAGCACGTATTAATTGTTTTGGTATTTTTGAATATGTTTGACATAAGTATGCAGCGTCTATATTTTTATGTCTACCCATTGAATAGTATTCGCGTATTTTATTTTGTTTATCGCAAGCTACATCATCAAATATGAAAATTGAATTGTTTCGAGCTTTCATAGGTTCAATTATTTCATCATTATCTTTATATGGAAAATACCTCACACCTTTTACTTTGCTTAAAACATTTTGTAATAATTGATATTTTGGTTGGAAAAGAGATTTTGAATAAACGTAAATATTTTCAAATTTAGCTCCATTAGCATTAAATATTAAACTTAATAAAGCATTTGTTTTACCACACCCACTAGGACCACAAAAAATTGCTCTAAAGGAATTTGGTAGTAAATTACCATGTTTACTAGCATCAGAACTGGTTTCAAATAAATCTAAGTTATTTATAGGTAGTTTTTCGGGTTGTTGAACGCAACGCATTTTAGGTACTACTGAACTCAAATAGTTTTGTTAAGGAATATATATTAAAGTTTATTCAATTAATTTTACAACAGCACGTAATTTTTGGTAACTTATTTAACACCTCATTAGCTTCTTTCACATAAAATGAAACCATACAACATGGACATGTATCTGGACCTTCATCAGAATTTGACCAGGGGCACGTCTCAAAATGTTTACTATACTGGTTATTTACAATCTTAGCATTAAGATGCTGCTCCAAAAATTCTTTTTGACTAACCCATTTTTTAATTTTTTCCTTTTTCAAAAATTCTCGATATATTTCTTGTTGAGTAGGATATTTATTTTCAAATTTTTCTTCACCTTCTTTACCACATTTTTCCAAAAATTTATCAATATTTTGGATTGCCATTTCAATTTCCTTTGCACTAATCATTATTACTGTACGATAATATTAAGACTGAATAATACTTTTTAGGTCACACGTTTTGGTGGAAAAATAATAAATATCTGACGTCACAATTCAAAATGGCGTCAAAAATGAAATTTATATAATTAATAATAAATCCTTATCTCCCGGATGCCAAACCACTGTTAAGTCACGCCCACCTTCTTATCACCAGCTTCCTTTCCCTTATCTCTAGTTCGCTGCTTTCACTGTCGCTTATCAGTAGAGGGCGCTTATTATCTCTAGTTCGTTGCTTTTACTACCGCTTATCAGTAGAGGGCGCTATTTGCAAATGGCCGACATCCGACGACCGCCCATTAGCTATTTGCAGGGGGCCTATCAGCCAACCACCGGCCTATCTACAGCCAATCACACTCTACTGGGCGGGGTTTTGCAACCACAAACATCGATTAGCCCCCTTTTTTTGGGCCAATCACCTTTAGGAACGCCCCCCCTTTAGGAACGCCCCCTTTAGGAACGCCCATCCACCTGTCTGGCTCACTTCCGGTCCCGTATCGGTGTAGTATATCTACTCGTGACATTAAGAAATATAATTAAAAACATATCCATCACTAATAGTTTTTCACTATATCAAAACATTGTTAGTTAATACTCAAGAAATTTGTATTAAATGTTTGCGTTGGTATAATGTTTGGACTAAAAATAGTATAAGCATCTCGAAAAAAAGTAGGAGATCTTCTCCAATATTGTATTATTTAATAAATTAAAAAAAAAATGTTATTTTCTGCCATTTTGAACAATTTTTAATGTTGGTAAAATAATTTCCTAGGAACTGGTATACATATTATTTCAACAATGCATAAGTGAAATATTTAAAATAAAAATTCTAGTTCATTCTGGGTTTGATGCTGCCGCGGCATGCCGCACACTGGTCCGAATCGACTTATTCTATGGCCAAAACTCGAAAAGTGAATGTAATAATGTGAAAATTTGTATTTTAGGGTTATTGGGGTCGCTGATTACGAAATTGATATCAAAATTATTAAATTCAAAATGGCGGACTAAAAATGGCGGACTTTTTTGACAAATAATTGGTTAATCGTCATGAAAATGTTAATTTTTAGGTTTCTGGGGACGCTTATCACAAATTTGATATCAAAATTATTAAATTCAAAATGGCGCACCAAAAATGGCGGACTTTTAAAAAAAATATTTAGTTAATTGTCCTAAAAAATGTTAATTTTTAGGTTTTTGGGGTCGCTCATCACGTATTTAATATTAAAATTATTAAATTCAAAATGGCGGACCAAAAATGGCGGACTTTTTTGAAAAATAATTAGTTAATTGTCCTGAAAATGTTAATTTTTAGGTTTTTGGAGTCGCTTATCACGAATTTGATATCAAAATTATTAAATTTAAAATAGCGGACCAAAAGTGGCGGATTACACCATTTTTGTACCTTCACATACAAATATACTTTTAATAACTGAGAGTTAAATTAATTCTTTTAAATCAATATTTATTTTAATTTAAACTTTTCAAATGTTAAAAAAAGTAAATTGAATTTATATTTTAAGAAATCAACTTTTATTTAAATTTAAACGAGTAAATGCAATTCAGAAATAAAAGTGTAAAGTTTGTTTTTAATATATAATTTAATAAATTTGCTTTTTCCTTTTAAATAAATTGAATTTTTTATTTTTAAACATGGTTTTTTAAATTAAATAACATTATTTTTAAAGGTAATAAAAAAATTAATTAATTATTATTTCTTGAATTAAAACATCTTTTTAATAAAATTAAAAATATTTTTATATGTAGTGCAAAAATTAATAAACCATTTGCATAAATATTTTTTTCTGTATATTTGTTATCCCATTATAAAATCTTAAAAAAATATATTTACCAAGCATCACTGCGTTTAACTGCGACTACTGTCTCAAATCCGGGCACGAACGTGTATATTATTGTTTTATTAATTTTCGCGCAAGTGGCTGCAGCCAATTTTTTAAGAACCTTATAATAGACACTTCAATGAACGTTTCCCCGTAAAAAACGTCTTCCACAAATGCCCACATTTTAACTTATTCCAAGTAGAAAAAACGAAAAAATCGAAAAAAATTTAAAATTAGGCCATTATGTTAAATAAATTTTAACAACAAATAATTTTTTTTTCAAAAATGTAATTTTATAAAATTATTGTACATACCTTCAGAAACATTTTCCATTTTGAACTGTTAAAATCGAAAAAGTCGTTAATGAAATAATAGCACTTTTGTTGCACAATCAAAATCAACACATAACTGTTTCCAAGCAATTGCAAAAAAAGGTTAAATAAAACTGCCCTAGGGATCAGGTTGGGCGATTTCATACCTAAACTCTTTGATTTTTAAATACTTCAAACATTTGTCTACCTGTATGAATTAAAATAATGTCATAATTATAACTTTATTTTTGGGGTTTTGGCCAAGGTCAAGCACGATTCGGACCAGTGTGTACCGGTCTCCTCGTTGTATTTGATCATAAAACAATTTAACAAAAAATAAATAAAAAAAGACATTAAATTAAAAAGATGGACATCAAAGGCAGATTGAATGGGTTTTTTGGAAACAAAAAATTTATATGGCATATGTTACCATGTTTCTTAAAATAAAGTTAAGACATTTGGTTTTTGCAAATTTTTGTTATAAAATATGACCATCTGAAAGTAATTATACACTCTTTATAATTTTATACCTCCACACAAACGGGATGGTCTTTTCTTGACTTGGCTACTGCTCATGCAAATAAACCAACTTAAGAAAATATTAGAAAAACTGATCACTGAAAAAGTCATTTTATTGAGAATAAAAATGACATAATAATAATTATAATTAACCACTTTTTTATTTAATTAATCCTTACACTGCTGTTTTCCCTAAGTAAATATTCCACTAATGATTAGTATCTAATTAAAATTAATTAATGATTAACTTGCTTGAAATTTTGCCCTGATGGACAGCCATTTCCAAGCAATGTTTTTAATATTCTGCAGATTGATATCTAGAGGATTACTTGCAACTATAAAGCAGTTTAAATATGGTCTACCATTTTTTTATAAATTAAATTAGCATAGAATGCAATCTGAATAATCAATTTTTAAATGTGCCAGGTGAAAATGTTTATATTTAATTTATTTTTGTTAAAAAGATTAAATAAAGCAGAAAGCTGCCATTTAAGTAAATTGGCTTTTTTAAACGTTTGCAATTAGAAATCACATATAGTTAACAGATAAAATCGGATTCTTTTCTCGTTATAAAACCATTGAGTATGATCTACGAAGTCAATTAAAGGCAAGCAAAGCCATAAAAAGAATTAAGCTGGGAGCTTTTAATGGGAAACTCTTATTATTATATCAACTGTTGTCATAAATTTTCATTATTGCCATTGCACTGTTCTAACAAGGATGTTAAGATTTTGTTTAAATAAAAAAACTAATCTGATACAGTCTTTAACCAGAATTATAATTTATCCCTCGCTTCCTCCAGAAGTAAGAACCTCATCCGATGAGGTAACCATAGCAATTAATAATATTCTTCAAAATATGGCCATTTATCCAAGAATCAAGACATTAAACTGTTAAATAGGATATAAATTTAAATTCTCACCTCTCTAATGTAACAATTTACGTTTAACAAATTTAAATACACACATAAGTATTTCTACGAGACGTCAGTGTTTGATTTAATGGTGGGATTTATAAATGAATAGCAGCTAATTTGCATTTATTCACTTGGATGCATGTTTCAAACGAATGTTCCAAAGTCATTAATTATTTTGCGGGTGTAGGTTTACCGCAAACTGGAGCCTTTTTAATACGCTGCTGCTACTGGCTGCACGATGATGATGGCGCTTCTTGCAAGCATCCTGCAGATAAAAAACCGAACGCTTTAAATATGGAAAAGGCAATTGCGACTCCTTGTTATTCAACAAGACCATTATAGTTGACAGGCATTAGCCAATTGTCTACTGAATAATAAAGCAGACTGTTTATTTCTCGAGGGGTATTAGATAGTTTATGAAGGAATAAATTGTCCTTACATATCGATGAATTTTTGCCAAAGTATCGCAACAACAAAACTTAATTTTCAAAAATTTTAAAAAATTTTGTTTTGAAGTCTGTTTTAAACTATAATGGTGATTCTACAAAAGTTGGACAACTTGATGTCATCAGTCAATAAAGTAGGATTTTAATATTTTTTGTAAATATTTAGTATATTATAAAAGATCCAGGTTTTTTTAACTTGTCCACTAGGGTGATGCAAAAAAATTTTTTTTTTGAATTCTATGCGAGACCACTCGGGTTTTCAAAGAGTATCAAGAAAATAAAAATCTGTAAAAATTTGAGAGAAATCAATTAAAATTTAGAGGTCGCTCAACGCAATTGTTTAATTTAGAAAAATCACGCATCTCAAATGCATTGCTATAAACAAGTAGGCATATTTCATACAAATTTGAATGAAAATGGTTGAATTTTTTTTTGGTGGACTCTTAATGATTATTCTAATAAATAATGTTGTCCCGATTTCAAAAAAATTTTCATAATATTTAAAAAATATATATTAATTAGCAAATATAGCTTAGTTAACAAATAATTCATTCAATTTTTTTTTTGTTTCAAAATCTGTAAAAACATTGTTAATAGGTCTACAAGCAATTATTCATTCACAAAAACACTCGCCCCCATCGTTAAATATGAGAAAAAAAAATATTTTAATTAACTACACTTCGCGTCAAATTTAACGCACTACTAAAAGTTTGTCACATTTTCAAAGTTGATTTTCTCGCGAACCGTCAAACCGAATTTGGTAATTTTTGTTTTAAAATTGAGGTTTATTCTTTGGTTATGATGCCTTTATTAAAAAATTCTTTTAAATTTAAGTTTTGAGTATATACATATATAACCGTCAAACCTAATTTAGTTATTTTTATAATAAATTGTAGGTTTATTCTTCGGTAATAATGCGTTTATTAAAATATTTTTTTAAATTAACATTTTGAGTCCCGGTCCCTTTCGCCCGGTAATAATTTTTTACTGATGCAGGATAATGCTATACAGGGTGGTCCAGGATTAATCTGAAAAATTTTAATGATTGATAGAGCCTGAAAAAACAATAAAAACAAACCCAAAAACATTTTTTAAAAATACACACTAACACACTAATAGCCCTTCAAAGGCAAAAAAACGTTTTTTTTTTAAATAAATTCTGCTCAAATTTTGTGTACCTAGGTAAAATATATTACAAAAGGCCCAGCGGCGGATATTTTGTGGGGGTTTCCCCTTTTTACCCCCATATTTCGACACCACTGGATTTTATTGGAAAATCATCAGATTTCTTATTCAATTTAGAAGCAAAACTTGTGTGTTAAATTTTCATAAGATAATTGTTTTCGGAGACTTTAAAATTTCAAAAACACCGAGTACACGGAATTTTATCATATTTTATTTTAAATCGGTAACTTGGTAACAATTATGCCACGTTATCAGTTTATAAAATAATATAAAAATAAACTAGCGTCATCGTGCAGTTGTTACTGATCCCGTCATATTTTTAGGTTGTTTTATTGTAACGTTGATTGAGGATTACAATCAACGTCTGTAATTAATAATTTAATTGTATTATAATACAAAATCAAACCAACCCAAAAACAAACCTATTGAAAGTGATTATTCCATAATTTCATTGGTAAATTTTTATTGGCCCAATACAATCGTTCAGAAAAAAAATAATTTTTTATTACTAAAATAATAACAAAAGTTCCGTGTACACAGTGTTTTTGAAATTTTAAACTGAAATATCTCCGTTGATCTGATAAAAAATAAACCTAAAAGTTTTGCTTTTAGATTGAAAAAGGATAAAAATAAATCTGAGGATTTTCTAATAAAATCCAGTGGCGTCGAAAATATGAGGGTAAAAAGGGGAAACCCCTCCCAAAATCTCCGCCACTGGGCCTTTTATAGAAAATTTTCATTATATTATCGACGGAAGCTTAACCTACACAAAATTTGAGAAGAATCGGTTTAATGGTTTAAAAATTATTTTGAAGGACTACCTATATCTCCGTTAGTATGCATTTTTGAAAAATGTTTTTGGGTTTGTTTTTATTGTTTTTTCAGGCTCTATCGATCATTAAAATTTTTCAGATTAATCCTGGACCACCCTGTATAGTGCAAGAGTACTTACATGGGGTGGGTGTTAAAACTTTAGACTGGCCTGCAAATAGTCCGGATCTCAACACCATCGAGCATTTGTGGGATAATATGGGTAGACGACTAAGAAATCATGATTCCTTGCCTGCCTCCCTTGATGACGTAGCAAATATGCTACGAGAAATATGAAATGTCATTGATCAAGACGAGATTAGACATCGGGTTTCGAGTGTGAGCCGTCGATGTGAAGCCGTAATTAGAAGTAGAGGCAGAAATACGCGATATTGATATTCTTTAATGTTGGTTTTATTGATTTTGTTAATATTTTTGTTGTTATTGTTACAATCGTTCTTTTTACATTTTTGTATTAAACTGGAGTTCTTTAATCTTTAACTGTATATTTCATTTAAAAATAAAGATAACGCGGTGAATCAAAAAACAAAATGTTAAGAGAAGATGTGGCTATAGTTTGATTATAAGATACATATGCTGTTATAGCTGGTACAATCCACAGGGTGTTTTAAATTTCCGGGAAAAAACTTATTATCACTCTTGCACCCTGTATATACTCAAAATGTTAATTTAAAAAAAATATTTTAATAAACGCATTATTACCGAAGAATAAACCTACAATTTATTATAAAAATCACTAAATTCGGTTTGACGGTTCGCGAGAAAATCAACTTTGAAAATGTGACAAACTTTTAGTGGTGCGTTAAATTTGACGCGAAGTGTAGTTAATTAAAATATTATTTTTTTTCTCATATTTAACGATGGGGGCGAGTGTTTTTGTGAATGAATAATTGCTTGTAGACCTATTAACAATGTTTTTACAGATTTTGAAACAAAAAAAAAATTGAATGAATTATTTGTTAACTAAGCTATATTTGCTAATTAATATATATTTTTTAAATATTATGAAAAAAAAATTGAAATCGGGACAACATTATTTATTAGAATAATCATTAAGAGTCCACCAAAAAAAAATTCAACCATTTTTATTCAAATTTGTATGAAATATGCCTACTTGTTTATAGCAATGCATTTGAGATGCGTGATTTTTCTAAATTAAACAATTGCGTTGAGCGACCTCTAAATTTTAATTGATTTCTCTCAAATTTTTACAGATTTTTATTTTCTTGATACTCTTTGAAAACCCGAGTGGTCTTGCATAGAATTCAAAAAAAAATTTTTTTTGCATCACCCTATTGTCCACCCAATTTTAATGTTTTTTTCAAAAGCACGTTTGTAGAAAACATAATAAATATTCAAAACATCAGTACCTTGGCGTGTCACAACTCCTGAATCAAATATTTGAGTGATTTTATATTAAAATATAGGTAATGGTAAATGGTAAAATATACAAAGTTTCCTATTATAGGAAACTTTGTATATTTTTAATATAATCAATAACCAAAAAAATATAGCAGTAAATACAATAAAAACTGTTTTTAATTACAAAGTTAAATATGTCAGTTAATATATTTTTTAAATTTGCACCTTTTAAATTGATAAAATTTATCAATTTAAAAGGTGCAAATTTAAAAAATATATTAAATGACATATTTAACTTTGTAATTAAAAACAGTTTTTATTGTATTTACTGCTATATTTTTTTGGTTATTGATTATATTAAAAATATACAAAGTTTCCTATAATAGGAAACTTTGTATATTTAACCATTTACCATTACCTATATTTTAATATAAAATCACTCAAATATTTGATTCAGGAGTTGTGACACGCCAAGGTACTGATGTTTTGAATATTTATTATGTTTTCTACAAACGTGCTTTTGAAAAAAACATTAAAATTGGGTGGACAAGTTAAAAAAAACCTGGATCTTTTATAATATACTATTTAATAGTATTTCTGACATAAAACCATTACCTATATTTTAATATAAAATCACTCAAATATTTGATTCAGGAGTTGTGACACGCCAAGGTACTGATGTTTTGAATATTTATTATGTTTTCTACAAACGTGCTTTTGAAAAAAACATTAAAATTGGGTGGACAAGTTAAAAAAACCTGGATCTTTTATAATAGACTATAATAGTCAGACAGTTTTTTTTTTAAGTCAGCCACAAGTATGCCAATAGTCAGCCTAGGTACTTTAAAAATAAAAAAGCATAAAAAAAACAGAACAAATTTTGTTTATTACAATAAAATAATAAATCAGTACCGTCTTGATGCTCGAAGAGGTCGGATGCGTCAAGATCCCTCCTAAGTGGCGTATACGGTACAAACGTAAAATACCAAAAACGAAACAAAGGATCCGGAAATGTCGGTGATCGTTAATGAATAATAAATAAATACATAAATAAACAAACAAGTGCAAGAAGTGCGAAAATTGTGAGATAACGCCGTAAAAGTGAGCAAGTGAATAAGTGCCTAATTGAGGCTGGGCAGCAACGATAAGTCAACCGGCGCACCTGGATCGGAGCGTTCCAAAAATGTCCTTTTTCTATGCAAAAACCTACAGGAGAAGGCCACCCCGCGAAAGACAAAGCATCAGGTTTATAGCCTAATAATCAAGCTAAGTAATTCTTCTAATTGCATGTCTTACCGTATAATCGTTAAATGTTTATATAAGCATTTCACAATGTTGCAAAAAAATCTAAGAAATCTATTCGTCTTAAAAATTAAATTTAAAAAATAATAAGAACATTTCCGTAACTGTTAAATAAACAACCTAATTTTCTCATAGTAGACAAACGTAAACAACCAGCGTAAAAGGCGTAAGCAAATAAACCAATTCAAGCAAGAAGACAAAAATTTATCATAAATA